AAAAACATCAAAAACCCAATGGGTTTCTCAGAAAAAATTGTCAAAATGTCCTTCCGCGCGCTCTTGCGGATTCCTAGGAAACCCACCAGATTTTAAACATTTCTGTTAAAAGGACCTTTGCGAGGAACCTTTTCAGGTGCTTCGACCTTCTGCAACAACGGTTGCGAGCCTACGAGGGCCACCATCCCTTGCAAAAAATGACACGAAGTGCACATGCGCGCGGCCGCCGCGCGCGCGTGCCGAAATCCGGCCAAACATAATGTGATTTCAATAATTTCAAGATGCGATGTTCCGAAAACATATGCAAACGCAAGACTTTCTCATCCGAAAAATATCAAAATCCACCCGCGGGCTCTTCATGACTCTTTAAAACCCAAGATGGCCCCAAGAGGCGCTCAAGATGGCCCCAAGAGGCGCCCATGAGGCCGCAAGAGGCGCCCAAGATGGTCCCAAGAGGCCCCAAGAGGACTCCAAGAGGCCCCCAAGAGGTTCCAAAGATGCTCCAAGTTGGCTCCAAGAGGCCCCCAAGATGGCCCCAGGAGGCGTCCAAGCGGCTCCAAGAGTCCTCCGGGAGGATCCAATAAGCCCCCAAGAGGCCCCAACATGCTTTCAAGAAGCCCCCCAAAGCCTCTCAAGAGGACCCCATGCGGCGCCAGGAGGCTTCCCCCCTTCCCCAAGAGGAACCCCAGCGGCCCCAGGAGGCTTCCCCCCTTCCTCTCACGCTCATATCCGTAGCCATCTCGGATCAAGGTATCGCCTGTGTTCTTGGATCATGGCTTTGACGGCGAAAGACCTTCACGAGCAGTATGGCGCAGAGCTGTCCCGGCCTCCCTTGGCCGACTGCGAGAGTGCGTATTATTTGCATCAGGCGCTCGCGGCAAAGGGTATCAATGCCAGTCACCAGGCGTGCAAGACTTGGTGGGCTAAGTATCGGGTTGTGACTGGCAAGGTCAGTATTTCTAGCGCCAAGGAGCTGGAGGAGCAGCACGGGTCTGCCATCCGCCACCTGGGCATCGAGTATAATACCGCTTACAAATTATGCCGGGCGCTCCGACAGTTGGATCCACCACTGTATGTGCCAGATAGGGTCGCAACGGCGTGGCTACTGCAGTATTCGTCGAAAGACACGCTTGTCCAAGTGCAGAACGCTGGCCATCTGGAGAGCTGGTATGGAGAACGTATTCGCAAAGACATGCCCGAGGGGACCACTGACGGGGCCGTCTTGAAGCAGTGGCTCCTTGGACATTTATCTGTATCTGCTAACGCCAGGGTATGCCAGAAGTGGCTCAGCACGGAGTGGGGCGCCAAGGGGGCACTCAACACTGCCCAAGCTGTGGAGGAATGTATGGGCGAGCGTCTTCAACTCAATCAGTATCGGGAGAGCTTCGCCGACGATGCCGCCGCGGAGGTCCTCTCGCAGCTTCTCTCGGAGAGCGATCCTCCCGTCGCTGTCAGCGGTATGGTTTTGAGGCAATGGTACGAGAAGTATCACCCTGACTCTGGACCTTTGCAGTACGACACGGCCGAAAAGCTCAACGCGGCACTTGGTGACCACATGCGCGATGTATATCCAGGGCTGAAGTGCCACACGTTGCATACCGTGTTGCGTATGCGACGGAAAGCTGTCTTGGTGTCCCGATCAGTGTTGAGAAAGTGGTGCGATGTGTATGCGTCGGTGGGCTCCTCCGTGCAGGCAGCGGCTTCATCCGCCCAGGCCGTCACCAAGCGCGTTGGGCAGTGAGAGTTAGGATCACAGCGCCACCAGTGTATGAGCAATGCATGCGTCACCCCTGGGACTGTATAACAGCAGAAACAGACAACATTGCATCGCAGCGGGACAGCCATCGGGACAACCATCGGGACAACCATCGGGACAACCATTTGGACAAGCATCGGGATAACGATCGGGACAACCATAACCATCAGGACAACCAACGGGGCAACCATCGAGACAACCATCGGGACAACGATACCTTCTCTCTTGTGTCCTCCCACATCCCTCAGGAAGTTGCCCTAAAGATGTGACCGACTCCTCTCTCTCCTTCTCTCTGTCTCTCGCACTTTCTCTGCTTCATATCTATCATACGTAACACATCTACTTGTGTAATCGCCTTCCCAGGAATTTGCCTCAAAAATGTGACCAACTATCTTGGCACTGCGTACCATCTCACGTGTACCGTGTACCACATCTTCTCAGGTTGCCTCACACATGTGACGAATCTCTTTCTATCTCTCTCTCCACTGGCTCTCTGTTTTGCTCTCTCTCTCTCTCTCTCTCTCTCTCTCTCTGTCTCCCTGTACTATGTATGTCATACGCAACAAATGCACCATGCGGGGCACATGCGGGGCCCAAACAAGTGATCAACCTCTGCGGGTGTGTACTCCACGCCAGTGTAGTATCCACGATCGTCCGCGCGCCACGAAGTGAAGTGTCCTGACGTCATAGGGCGGGAAGCTGGGTGTGGGTGGTTCCCGAGAGTCGTGTGGATGTTTGGAAGAGCTTGCATTGCCCCCCCACGAAGTGGGGGTATTGGCTGGCGTCGCATGAAAACCCTGGCACTGGGGAGAACACTGAGCGTTCGGGTAAAATGATTGTTGTTGTTGTTGTTGTTGTTGTTGTTGTTGTTGTTGTTTGTTGTTGTTGAACTCTCACTTCTGAAGAATAGTTATTGTCGATCCCCCTCCTCTGGCGCACATTGTCAGAGTGAGGGGGCCGAACGGTCATTCATTGTGCCTGGGTGCGTGGCTGAAGTGGGGACCTGTGGTGATGATTCTGATTGTGCGTTGTTGTTTGTTTAATTGTTGTCGTCGTCCCACCCCGCGACCCACCCGCGACCCAACCCCGCGACCCAACCCGCGACGCACCCTGCGACCTACCCCGCGACCCACCCCGCGTTCCACCCGCGACCCACCCCGCGTCCCAACCCGCGACCCACCCGCGACCCACCCGCGACCCACCCGCGACCCGCCCGCGACCCACCCTCGACCCACCCGCGACCCAACCCGCGACCCACCCGCGACCAACCCCGCGACCCACCCGCGACCCACTTGCGACCACACCCCCGACCGAACCCCGCTACCCACCGCGCGAACCTATCCCACCTCGCGGGGTGGGTCGCGGTTGGGTCGCGGTGTGGGTCGCGGGCGGGTCGTGGGTGACGTCGCAGGTGGGACGACGACAACAACAAGCAACAACAAGAATCCGCATTGCGGAATTCCACTTCACTCACGCACCCAGGCACAGTGAATGATCGTTCGGTTCAGGCCTTCATTGTGATGTACATCTATATATTTACTATGCATAAATGTATATATGTGTATACATGTATATACATGTATACACATATATGTATATATATATATATCAGAGTGAGAGAGCCGAACGGTCATTCATTGTCCGTCGGTGTGTGGCTTATGTGGGGATCCGTGGTGAGGATTCTGTTTGTTGCGTTGTTGCGTTGTTGCGTTGTTGTTTGTTTGTTTGTTTGTTTGTTTGTCGTCGTCGTCCCTCCCGCGACCCACCCGCGACCCACCCCGCGACCCACCCCGCGACCTACCCCGCGACCCACCCGCGACCCACCCCGCGACCCACCCCGCGACCCACCAGCGACCGACCTGTGACCCACCCGCGACCCACCCGCGACCCACCCGCGACCCAACCCCGACCCACCCCCGACCCACCCGGCAACCCACCCGCGACCCACCCCGCGACCCACCCGCGACCCACCCGCGACCCACCCGCAACCAACCCCGCGACCGTCCTGTGACCCACCCGCGACCCACCCGCGACGCAACAGTGAACCATCCGCGACCCGCCCGCGACCCGCCCGCGACCCACCCGCGACCTAGCCGTGACCCACTTGCGACCCACATTGGTTTAACGAAAACATCTGCGCCTGCGGCGGGCTCATTGTATAATTTGTGAAACTTTGGCGCCTGTGGCGGGCTTGTCCAGAGTCTCGCAGACTGCGGACGTTCCCAACGCCCCCTCACGCTTATCCGCATCTGCGGGGTGCTACGTACACACGGCTTGAAGGTTGGTTACAGAGTCTCCCCAGGAGGTTTCAGACCATCTAGGATTCCTGATCTGATGAAGCGACGGTGATAATTACCTATGACAATCCAAGATTGGAGTCCCTCCGGTTTCCAGGCCCTAGATTCCTTCTAACCTTCGGCCCATCCCGTCACCGTGTCTGGGCTGTGGGTTTGAAGCCTATGGGATGTTTGTTGGGATCTCGTGGTCCGCCTCTCCGGGTCCTCTGGGAGGCAGTTTTGAGGCCTTTTGGAGACTGTTGAGGGGCCTCTTGGTGGGCATCGGTTGGGCCTTCTGGGGGCCTCTTGGACGCCTCTTCGGGCGGAAGCTGGATTTTTCAGTTCGTAGTCCCTCTCTTGGACCCCTCTTGGCTCCAGAATCACATTCCAGCTCCAGCTAATTTGCTTGAGCTAACCCTCGGCCCGCCCGCCCGCTACGCACAGGTATGGTGCTGGGCAGTGGCGGCGGGAGGGGGCCAGCGCGGCCGCTGCTTTCCGAGGCGGCGCTGCGGCGCCGGCGGCCGCCAGCGCGCAGCCGAGGCAGCTGCAGGGGCTGGCGGCGACCGACGCCCTCGACATCGAAGATCTCTACAGTCTGGAACGGGTGCCTGGGAACGCGTGCCGCGAAGCTGCACGACGACGAGAGAGTGCATTCCAACGGCCAGGACGTTCAGCAGGAGGGTTTCGCGCAGGAGGGCTCCGAGGCTGCAGCCTGTGACGACTCGGCTGGCATCGTGAGCGTGGTTCCGATGGCTCTCACCGCGGCGATGCCTCAGCGTGAGGCGTTGGCGCAAGCTCTGGTCATGAAGACTTCGTTGAGCATCAGCTTCGCTGTGGGCCAGCCGCGCGCCTACGACGACCAGCAGCGCGCTGGCGAGGACCAGCAGCACGCCTCCTCCGACAAGAAGCGCGCATGCGGCGTTCCGCAGCGCGCCAGCATGGACCAGCAGCACGCCTGCTAAGACCAGCAGCGCACTGGCGACGACGTGGAGAGCGCCTACGGCGACCTCGCAGCACGCCTGCGACGACCACCCGCGCGCCGGCGAGGACCAGCAGCACGTCTCCTACGACCAGGAGCGTGCGACCGGCGACCTGCAGCACGCCGACAGGGACTAGCAGCACGCCGGCAACGGCCAGCAGCACGACGGCGTTGACGAGAGCGCCTGCGGCGACTCGCAGCACGCCTGCGACGACCCGCAGCGCGCTGGCGACGACCAGCAGCACGTCGGCAGACTGGGATCGCGCCTACAGCGCACAGCATCACGCCTGCGACGGCCAGGAAAGCGCCAACGAGGCACACCAGCACGCGGGCAACAGCCGCGCCAAGACTGCGAGGGCGGACCCGTCTGAGGCCGCCCGCTGTGCGATGTACATCACCGTGCTCGCCG